CATGCAACCAAAAAGTCTTAGGTGTAATCATGAATGGTCATCTCTCACCCCACCTCCATTGTCATCAATGTTGTACCCAGCATTCATACTGGAATTACCACTATTTTTCACCACATATACTTCAAACCAAAATTACACAGAAAAGAAAAGAAACTATGGAGAGGACTCGATGATGGTATCATGGAAAGAATATATTTTCTTCACGGACAACCTAAGGGGGGGTATTGATAGGATATTTGTTTAATTGTTTCTTGATAGGAAGATGTGGAGGTCGAGTATTAGGGTTGTGGGTTAGGAGGTAGTTGAGTCTTGCCTTACTTCGTACCTTTATGAGACTAGGCTGGTAGGGTTTGGTCTAAGATAGCTAGTGGCAATGTTGTGTCTCACTATTTCGCTTTTTTGTGCAAGACCTATTTACTAGCTATCGCTTTTGCTTTGCATCTTTCTTCTGGATTTCATGTTTCCCTATTTTTCCTATGATTTCTGTGGTGATATTAATATTGTCTCCTTTTGTCTTTTTATTTTTTTTGAGCCGAGGGTCTTTCGGAAACAGCCTCTCTACTCTTTCAGGGTAGGGGTAAGGTCTGCGTACACACTACCATCCCCAAACTCCACTAGTGGGATTTTATTGGGTTGTTGTTGTGGTTGTTGTATTTACTTGCAGCAAAGGTGTTTTTGTTGGAAGGTGAATTTACTTAGTACAGTTGTCGGTTAATCATTATCTGTCTTCGTTTTCCTTTGCTTCTTTTTCTTTTTTTTTTTTTTGTGGAAAAGATGATGATCACGATAAATGTATTGAAAGAACTGAGCTCTAAATTCTTTGTGATACAGTAGCCTACCACCAGATCATGTACCACGTTCCTACATACGACATATTTAAAATTCATTTCAACTTTGTTCCAGTTGAGCATCTAAGCATCACACAGTTAAATTCCTCCTATGAAGCTGCTCTGCATATCATTTGATCTGTAAAGTCACTATCTGCTTTCTTCTTCTTCTTCCTTTTTTTTAATAAGCAAAACAAAACCACCATGGTCTACAGTAGACTTTCCATGACTCAGCCTTTTATTTCTCATGACAAAGATAGCCTACGCTTTAGTAAGCAGGAAAACAAAGGCTTGACCATGGCATGCAAAGCAAATCCAATGCTCAGAGCAAGAGTTCACAGCTTCCAATGGAGGATGCAATGTAAAATGAATGGGTTCAACACAATATCATTTTTGACACGGAATATGTATGTGTACATTACAGACACACATAATATATATAACTATATACTATGTGTCACTAAAATTTCAAAAAATATCAAATTTTGAACTTACAATTTTAAAAGTCAATTGGTTAAGT